ATTTTTGTAAGATGTGTAGAATTTTGCTGTTTTTCTTTCTTTTCTTTTCTTTGTTTCTTTTCTTTCCTTTTCTTTCTTTCCTTCTTTCTTTCTTTCTTTCTTTCTTTCTTTCTTTCTTTCTTTCTTTCTTTCTTTCTTTCTTTTTTTTTTTTTTGACAACTCAGGAAGAAACTGATCTCAGAAAGAATGTTAGATTTTGGCTGCTCTCCTGTGCCCCCCTTTCACCCTAGGAAAGCAAATTCTCCCAGAAGACTCAGAAAGTGAGACCTATGGGAAAGGGGAGAGGAAGACCCAGAGGCCACACTTAAACCCCTGCTCTTCTTGGGACAGAAGCAGAATGTATTGCTAGGGCCTCCTCCTCAGGCCCAAGGTTGTAGGTAAGGGTGAGGGGGACTGGGTTTGGAATTTGAGAGGTGGTAGGTCTTGCACCCTTCCTGCTGCTGTTCCCGCTGGGCCCCACCCCTCAGCATAGTGTTTTCTGTGGAGGGTTGGTTATCCAGAGTTGGGATGCCCTGGCCCACTGCCTGCCCCAGACGCAGAAAGTAGGCTGAGAGGGCCCAAATGGGATAGTGACTCAAGCAGAAAGTCCCCGGAGAGGTCATCTCACCTGTCCCTTGCCTAGGCAGAGGTGTCCTATAACTTATGCTAAATGGATTTCCTCTGGAAGGAACAAAGTCTGGTCACAGGTCTGGTTGGGCAAAAAGAGTTGACTACAGACTCAGCCTCCCTGGTCTGGTGGGAGGCTCTGAGGAGGGGTGAATGAACATCTGTTACAGGAGAAGTTTCTGTGGGGAGTCGTACATCTCCCATCCTCTTAGGGTCCTAGGTCTCGAACTCCAGGGGCTGTGAGAGGGGGAAGGAGATGGGCAGGTTCTTTTCCCCTGAATAGACATCGGGGGTTTATTCTTGGCCCCAGTCAGACTTTCCCCCAGAAGCCTAGGCTTGGGTACCCTTCCTTGTGAGAACCATACTCCCCTGTCCCACCAACTTTCCCTTGATAGGGCTTTGGCAGTTTGCCCCCTCCCCCTCAGGGAGCCCATTTCACAACTCTGACCTGTGGTCCAAAGAGGGAGGGTACAGGCTGTCACCCCACCTCTTCTCTGCCCCACCCCAGCCTCCCTCCTGTTCCCCTACCACCGAATGGCTCCTGCAGTCTCTGTACCGCCTCCCACTCCCAGCTGGAATGGATGCCTGTGGGGAACATTTCAGGTGCCAAGGTGCTGAGGGCCTGTTCTGGCCTAGAAGTGCTAACAGGAAAGCTGCTCTGTTCTTCCCCTTTTTCCCTTGGTCCCTGGCCTTCCTCTCCTTGGAGCTGGCTGATTGCAGGGCTTTGGTGCCTCAGAAACTGGGTGTAGGGTCTTGGCTGTGAAAGGCCCCCAGGGGGAGCAGGGAGTGAGCAGGTTCTCTCAGGTGTGTATATGTATATGAGGGGTAGGTGGAGGTCATTGGGGAGGTGGAGTTGGGATCCCAGCCTTCCCTTCAGGAGGCAGGCAGCTCTGGGGGTTGGGGGGAAGAGCTCACTGACCGGGTCCCAGGGCCCCCACCACCTCCTCTACTGGCCTTGGGGAGCTTTGCACAAAGAGACAGCCCCCAGTCTACTAGCACCTACCTCATAGCTACCGGGGCAGGTGGGGGAAGGGCAGGTCCAGCTCTGGCAATGTTGGGGGGGCATACCAAAGAATCCAGGGGCAGGGGTGTGGGGAGGGCAGACTCTGCAAGCTGGCCCTTTCCTTCCTGTACCCAGATTGGGATTGGGGTCCTCTCCTCCAGCTGTAACCATTTCTACCTCATTTTGCTGCGTGTTGTACATGGACGTATTTATCTCCTGTCTGATGATGCTCTGCAGTTTGGTCTGTCTACCTCAGAAGAGACTGTATTTTAAAAGAAAGTATTACACAGTATTAAAGCGATAACACGTGGTTTCCAGAGGATTTCTTTGGGGCAGCAGGGTGTGGGGAGCCCTCTGGGAAATGCTTGGGCTTCCAGGTCTGCTGGTGCCATGGTGTGGCTCTGTGGTGGGTGTTTCTATTCCTTCAGCAAAACATGACTGTGGGACTCCTTTTATTCACTCTGGCACAGCCAGTGCATACCACACACTGGGCATTGAGGCTACCAGGTGAAAAGCCTGTGGATAGGAAAGGCCTGCCTGCAATTCTGAGCTCTTTGGGGTGGACTTTGAGCCAGCATGGGGGATAAAGAAGAGCTCACATGTTTGTTGAGTGAGTGAATAAATGAATGCATGGAAGGAAGGAGGGCTGAAAAGGAAGGTTCATTCAGGACCTGGACAGCAGCCCTTGTTCGCCAGAGCTAGGATTGTATTTGCACTCCATCCTTGGATGGAGGGAGAGTGGACAGAGGGCAGGGTGTGGATACAGTGAGTTCCAGTCTTTGAGGCCATATGGGATCCTTTGTCCCCAAACTCTGTCCTTGACAGCTCATCATAAACTGGAGCATAGAAAACTAGGAAGGAACATCTTGCCGAAAAAGCTGTATTGAGATGTTTAGACCCACAACTTCCTGAGGCCCTTAAATGCTCTCAGCAAAATCATCGCAAATGCACCAGAGCGCAAGGGAAGCAGGCACCGCTGGCTTCCTCAGGCCCAAGCTTAGGGCATATCTGGGGCTTTCAAGTCAAAGCAAGCCCAAGGCCAGACCCTGCAAATAGTTTCCCCTCTGACAGAAGCTAGTGTGTGCCTGGACGTGGGGGCTCCAGGGCATTGCCCCGGGACTCAGTGACCCCAACCCTCCCCACTCTTGGCGGTCCAGACCCCCCCCACCTCGCACTCTAGTTGGTTTATTACACACCTACCCTGTGCAGTCACTGCATAGCACTGAGGATTCAGAAATGGTTAAGCCCAGCCATTGTTCTGGAGAGCCCATGATACAGAATGGGAAAGCTCAAAGATAGATCATTTGAAAATACAGCTGGATAAGGTGGCTTTAGGAGGGACTATACCAAAAATTTTATATTCTCACATCTGGCACAGTATTTGTTGCATAGAAGACACTGAATAAATGTTGACTAAATCCTCGAATTAATTTCCAGGTAAGTGTCCCAATGGAGGATGCACAGGCTGTCTCAAGAATGCCCAGAAAAGATCCTGACTTGTGGTGGTGGTAGGGTGTCCGAAAAACTTCCTGGACAGGATTGGGTGGGTACAGGCCAGCAAACCTATGGAGGCTGGAAACTGCACCCTGTAATTTGTTACAAGAGCATAAAGTGAGGGCAGCCGTGTGGAGGGGTAGTGAGGCCGGAGGAATCAGTAGGACCACAATGCTTCATCAGCAGGAACTTCCATGTCCTGTGAAGAGCTGAAGCTCCGTGATGAAGCCTGCATGTGTAGGGCAGGGGGCGGGTAGGTGGCTGGTGGACAGGAACTGATTTGCAAGTTAAGAGTTCACATACTGATTCAGCAAATCTTTACTGAGCACCTGTTATGCACTCGTTGCTATGGGGACAATAGATGGACCTTACAGTGTGGTGGGAGGGGGACTAAAAAGGCAGCGCTGCAGGGTGCTGTGGGAGTAAATAGGAGGGGTACTTATTGGAGACAGGGCAAAGGGTGTGGCTGGGAGGTAGAGTGGGCTTCCCAGAAGGGACCTGTCAGCTGAGGAGTGACTGAGGCAGAGCAGAGTGCAGTCCAAAATCTGAAGGAGAGCCTGAGCCAAGTTTGCTTGGGGAAAGGAAGCAAGTTCTTTCCTAGAGTGTGTGGAGGGCCGGTGGGGACCTGGGGAGGAGCTTACCTTATCTGAGCTAGAGGATGAGGGTTTGGATGCACCCGTGGGAGGATGGAAACTGGTAGCATCTGTACATAATAAGTATTTAGTAGGTAATAAGAGAATTTGGGAGTTGGATATTGGAGATAGAGGAGAGCAAGGGGTCTAGAGTTTTGGTGGAAGGTAAGGGGCAGTAAATGGGTTAAAAGAGGTGTTGCAAACTTGATAAGTTAGAAATTCGTGGGACAGCCAGGAGGCCTCGGGCAGGCATTTGAATGAAAGGGCCCAGAATTCTAGCCTCCCGGGGGCCAAGTCCCACTAACTCCAATCCCTGGGTTTTCTGAGATCCTTCCCTCTTAACTCCTTGTTTCTTGGGTTGGGAGATCCTGCTCCGACAAGTCGCCCATATCGAAGGCCCCCTTTTCCGTCCCTGTATGTAACCAGCCCCCATCCGTAGGTGTTGGCGCCCCTCCCCCACCCATGGGCATTCTTTGTTCCTCCCCCTACACTCCGTGGGGTCGCGGTCACCACCTGGTGATGGCGGTGCGGGCTCTGGCGGGGGCCCTGGCCCTGCTGCTCTGGGGCTGGGCGCTGGCTCCAGCAGGGGCCATGGATGCCATGGGCCCTCACGCGGCTGTCCGCCTGGCCGAGCTGCTGACCCCGGAGGAGTGCGGCCACTTCCAGTCGCTCCTGAAGGCGCCGGAGCCGGACGTCGAGGCTGAGTTGGCCAGGCTTTCCGAGGACCAGCTGGCGCGGCCGGAGCCGGTGCCCACGTCGGCGTTGCCGGGTCGGCTGCGGAGGCAGCGGCGCGAGGCGGCTGGCCCGGAGGCCGAGCCCGAGGACGTGTCCGACGGCTGCCGCGAGGGGCTGGCAACCTGGTTGGCTGCTGAGGCTCCATCCCTGTCATGGGACCGTGTGGCCCGGGCCCTGCGGCGCAGCGGTCGCCCGGACGTGGCCCGGGAGCTGGGCAAGAACCTCCACCAACAGGCGGCGCTGCAGCTGCGCAAGTTCGGGCAGCGCTACCTGCCACCGCCTGGCGTCCCCGCCCCGGCCCCGGCCCCGGCCCCCGCCCCCGCCCCGCGCCTCCGCCGCGCCTCGGTCCCCGAGACCAATTGGGACGAGCTGGAGCTGATCGTGGAGCGACTGCCCCAGGCGCCGTACGAGCGGAGCCCCACAGGCTGGGCCGGGCCGCTGGCGCTCGGCTTCCTCACCGGCTTCGGTGGAGCGCTGGGCGTCGGGGCGCTGCTCATCCTGCTCACGCCGTGGATCACGGGTGGCGACGGCGTGCGGTCCCATAGTCCCCGGCCGCCCGCCCCTCCCCTCCTGGGGCCCGCTGGGGCGCCCCGCTTCGGGGAAGTGGAGCCGCTTTTGACTGCATCCCCGGGGCCCTGGGCTGCAGGTGGACCAGACCCCTCCTTGCCTCCATGTCCCTGGCTGTGAAGTGGGAGCAGGGTCCTGGTGGGGTGCTGCCTTTGACATGTTATAAAAGTTATGAAATACGCAAAGGTGGGAGCAATCGGTTTTGTTGGTTGGTTAGAAATGACCTGCATAGCGAGGGGGGCTGCCAGTGGACGAGAAGGGTCTCAGGTGCCAGTCTACCAGAGAGGGCAGGGGATGCAGGCCCTCCCGATTCTTATCAGCTTAAGTTCCTTCTTTATCTCGCTCTTATTCTCTAAGAGCTACCATTTATCAAGGACTGTGTGCCAGGCCCTAGGCTAAGCAGTTACATACATTATTTGATACAATCTTCAAAACGCAAGAAAGAGGAAATTATCCCCACTACACGTAAGGCAGCTGGCCACAATTAGTGGCATAGCCAGAGCTGCCTGAGCTGAGAGTTTGAGCTCCAGAGGGAATGATCTGTGAGCAGTAAGGGAGCTGGGGTGAAATGGTGGGAACTAGAACAAGGTGTAGAGCTTCTGTTTACTCAGAGGTCCTGCTGGAGCCCCTGCGGGGGCAGCACAGCTAGAGGTGTGCCCACTTCCAGGGGCTGATGCCTCAGGCTGCTCTCTCCATTCGGGCAAGGCCTCCTGAAGCTCGACCTGCAGCCCCCAACTTTTCCCACCCACATGAGTGGCAGGGCACTGCCAGCCCATCAGAGGAGTTGAGCCTGGGTGAGCCCCTCACACAGACTGCCCAGACTGCACCCCACACCATGGGGAAGGCGAGAGGCCAGCTATGGGGTCCTGCTGGACAGCAGTGCTGGACTCCCAGGCCACCGTGGGCCGAAGGGCTTTGGTGTGAGAGCAGTGACAGAATGACAGGCCAGTCCAAGAGGAGAGTTGAAAACAAGATTGACGTAACCCTTTATTGCAAATTCTAAAGTAAAAAGATGTACAGTACAAAGTAAAATTGAAATTTCAGACTATAAACTTCCAATCCACTTATACATTCTCATTTCTCAAGCATTTCTGCCATTTCCGCATAAACGGAACAGGGAACAAGTCGAGGGGGTGGGGGAAGGAGATACAGCAAGGGAAAAAAAATTAAGTGTCTAGAATAATCACAAACCCCAGAAGCAAGTGAAAGGAAAGACATTTTCTCGACCTGCTGTCCTGGTGATGAGAAGCGGGGGTGGTTGGAGCAGTGCAGTTTAAAATGGCTCTCAGAATAGCAGCACTTATGGTACCATTTTATCCTCCGTAAGTCCAAATAATACTTTGCCCTTCCCTAGTGCCTTTGCCTCTGTATCTCAAAAACACTTTACACAACATTTAGTTAAAGCCTCACAACACCCCTGTGAGGTAGGTCAGTATTATTATCCCCATTTTACAGATGGGGAAACTGAGGCACAGAGAGGTTAAGTGACTTGCCCAAGGCCACACAGCGAGTCAGTGGTCGAGCTGGGGATGGAACACAGGAGTTCTGTCCCTTTTCTGGAACCACTGGACTGCGCTCCCCTTGACCTATATACATTCTTCACACACACACACACCACACGTGCACACCCGCCCACCCCACCCCACTTAGCCTCTATGTACAGCAAACAGCAGTGGGGGGCAGGGGCAGGGAGTGCCTCAGGAGTGTTTTAATGGAGGAAATCTTGGTACTCTTGGAAAGGGAATCCAAGAAAGCACAGAGCTGAGCTCCAGCACAGACTGTGCAAACCTTGGGCCTCTCCCACAACCCAGACTTCCTCTTCTCTCCTGATGTCCCCCTGGCTGGCTAGTTGCAGCCGATTCTTTAGGGGGTGGGGGTACCTGAAAATGAACGAAGCTTTTTGCAAAACTTTGGGCAACATCTGAGAAAAGAAAGAGGCATCGTTACAGAAGATGCCCAGGACTCAAGTCACAAAGTCGTAACCCATGGCAATCTCACCTCCACAGCAGGCCTGGAGGCTGGGGGCTGGGGGGGGGAGGAGGATGGGGACTGACCTACCAGCCATCTCTCTCCAGAGAGGAGCTACTGGAGCGGACTAGAGTGGGCACTTCAAAATCCTCCTGAGTGTTCCTGGACCGGGAGACATGGCCTAGAGAGGGATGTCCCCAAAGCGGGGCAGGGCGAGGGAAGGGGAGGGGTGCCCCTCTTCCCTGCACGAACGTGAACGAGACCAGCCCTAGTTTGCTGGCCTCGCGGTCGGGGTGATGGAGGGCAGGGCCTGGCATTAGCTAGCAGAGTGGAGGCTGTGGGGCATCGTGCTTGCCCGAGCTTTGGGGCGTTGGAATGGTTTTTTCCTTAGCGTACTGGTGAAAAAGGCAGAAAGGAAGAAGTAAGGCCAGCCCAACTGATTGGCTGACATCTTCTGTGGGGGCTCTGCCAGGGGGACTGGTGAGGAAGGGGTTTAATGGGCCTCGGAGCACGGGCCCGGTGTGGGGAGGAATGACACATGCAGTGGGTGAGTGGGGATCTGGGGGATCAGGACCTTGCTTTCCTCTCCAATCTCTACTTCTTAGCCAGAACTTTGCAAGAAACCCTCCGATTTCTCTCCCTTCCATTCCCCTCTTTTCCCTAGATGTGCTAGTAAGGTCCCAATTCCCAGACCCCTCCCAGGAATCAAAAATTGGGAGAGTCAAGCAACAAACGCACACCAAGACAGGCTTCCCTTGTACAGTAAAAAGGGTCATTTTTATTGTGTTTCCTTTTGGCTTATAGTAGTGGTGTACTGTTTATCACGTCTCGCTTAGAGCAGTGCTGGCCTCCATGCATTCACTAATACACTAGTCTTCACTATTGGTCTTTTACAAGCCTACATTGGTTGCAGCAAAAAATAAAAGAACTCTGAGCACTGTCGTTCCAGGGGCTTTGACTGGGAGTTTCTCTTAATCTCTTCCCAGTCAACTTCTGAGGCCAAAAGTGGCTCATTTAGAGAGGAGCGGAAGGAGGTCGTGATGACTTGGCGTTTTTCCTGCGCTCGCCCTCTGCTTTAAATGAGTCTCCTCATCCTAAGCAACAAGGAGGTTAAGGAAAGAAGCCGGGAAAGTGTTTTTCACACACAAACCAGCAACCGTGACAGCTGCTGCTCAGTGGCTTTGGCTCTGCATTTTAGATTAACAGCATCACACGTCTTTTTGCTTTTTGTCCTTTTTTTTTTAAAGGTGGATTGTGGAGTATAAATACTGCACCAAGGACCTGGCTACAAAAAATAAATATTTATATTGTATTTATATATCTATATATATATATGTGCAGTGATACTGTGGCTGCTGCTGCTTTTTGATTGGCTTCGTTAATATTTGGCAAAGCGTTGCCACTTAGCCACTCAGTGAAGGCAGACGAGGGCGCCATCACTGATTCTTTCAGTTCAATGCCTGTTAACTGCGGGTGTAAACTGCTGGTGATGGTGTCATTTACTACCAAAGAAGTGTGGAGCAGGGCGGGTGAGTGAGTGAGACAGTGAGAGAGTGAGCGAGTGGAGGGATGGTGGGTAGGGGGAAAAGAAGGCGGGAAAAGTTTAACCTAAAAAAGTGAACCGTCAAATAGAGCGGAGGTGGCTTCTTCCCTATGAAGCTGGCTGATGGGTGTCAGATACCAAGGCCCGTGTGCGAGTTACTGAGGAGATAGCCTGCTGGGTGGGGACCAGGGTCTAGGGGAGGAGAAAGGTCAGCTCTCAGAAAAATCTTATTAATATGCTCTAGCAGCTGAATGACATCACTAGCACGAGCACTTGGCGTACGGAGCGGGATCTTATAGCTCTGTTGCCCATCTCAAGACCTAAGAACAAGAACAATTATGAAGTTTAGCCAATCTTGCATAGAAGTGGTTAGAATTTATTGCACATTGGAACAAAAATATATTTTTTTTGTTGTTTTGGAAAAGACCATTAGCAATAAAAAATTTTTTGTCTGTCTGTCTGGTTTGGGGATGTACATTGGCTGACAGCATCTAAGTTCTAAGAGGAAAGAAAAGTATAAAAAATAAAAATAAACATGACAATGGCATAAGCCAGAAGCCATTTCCTATTTAATAAGTTAATAATTTGTATTTACAAAAAGGCATGCCGATAAAATAAAATGATATATTACAGTATTTATAATTCTCTTAAAAAGAATGACCACACATGTCAGCTTCTGTTTTGTGCTGTTTACGATATAGCCTGTACATGTTACTATACATTCATCCTAGCGGTTAGCAGGGTCACCAGAAAATAAATAAATAAATAAATGAATAAAACACCTTCCCAACCTGGTATTGGGTGTAGTATAAAAAGTTCTATGGATGATGCTGCAGAAACAGGCTTATGAGAGCTGGACAGTTTCTAACGGTCCAACAAGATAGGAAGCTCTGCTTACTGACTTGCTGTGGTTTGTTCTACACAAAACTTAGTCAGGTGGACTGTGAAATCACATCCAGGGTGCTTCTACTGCAAGGCAGATTGGTGTCTGATTTTTTTTTCCCTCTCTCTATTGTATGGTTCAGGAAGAATTTATTTTGATTTGGTTTGCATGCTCAAGTCTCTCCCCATCCTTTGAACAGACTTCCTGACACATTCAACTGCAGCATCTTAGCTCTGCAACCTAGTCAGGTGAGAAACCCCTGGACTAAAAACTGTCTTCCCTGAAGCAGGAGATGGGACAGCAAATGTGACGCTCCCCCAAAGCCACCCTCCAGTGATAGTGGGCAGGTCGCTAAGCAGGTAGCAAAACTGGCTGAAAGGAAATGCGCTGGGGGAGGCTGGAACTTCTTAAAAATTCATATTAAACTGCTTTCTCATGAGAACCAGTGCAATAAAGAAACCCAGTGTGCTTGGTTCGGAGGCGGCGCCATCTCTACCGAGGTCCCACCAGTGACTATTTATTCTAATAACAAATGAAAGAAACCACAGCCGTAGCTCCAGTGCTACTGCCCTCGCCCACATCTGTGGGTGAAGGAAGCCCTGCTTGGTGGGAGAATGTGATGGAGGCAGGAGGACTCATGCAGTGTGTGAGCTTGCAACAACCCCTCTGTGGAAGGAGGAGGCCTGTTTGGAATATCTGACCCCTCTCTGTGTGGACCCAAGCCCG